AGACACACACGCGCGCGCGCAAACCTGTCAATTCTGCTGAGTGCAACCGGGTGGCGGCAACTTAGAAACGAGAAATGCCTGCCGTAAATATGAGATGAGCGGACAATTCAACAGGAGCTGCAAGCATCTGCGAGCCTCCGCCCTTGACTGAACATCATCCACAGCAATGGCGTCTTCCAGGATGTCCAGCAAGTCATCCGTGTCCATGACAGGGAAGGCTACTCATTAAGTTTCGGGATACCGTTATATACGTATTATTCATGAAGAGTTCCACAGGATGTTCAACACTCGGACAAGCAAAACCTCTAGGTGATCCAGTTGAACGAGCATGAACACCTCAAGTCTGGACTTATCTCCTGCAATCACGTGTACATGAAGCACAAAGGATCTACGCGCATCTCTCTGAGTGTATCTTGGAGCACGAAGCGGCTTGGGTGTCAATGTAATGCAAAAGAAACTCTGAAACATCTGTGCAGCTTGAAACCGCCAACAGACCTACTTTGCATCCGCTGCAGACGTGCCTGCGCCAAACTCCGCAAAGCCTGCATCCCACACATCTGCGAGCAACCATCTCTGACACGGGCAGTCCTGGCCTTGCGGGTCATGACCCGTGCGGTGATCCCCTGACCTCGATGACTTCAGGAGTCGGGAAGTTTCAAAGGAGGATGTTTGCCAGGCATTCTCTCGAAATTATGCTGCAATGTCACTTCCCCACATCGGGCACTTTGTGAAGCGCGCTCCGTTTCAAGAGTGCCCGCAAGGCTGGATTCAGCCAAGACATCTCTGCAGAGACTGAAACCTCAAACGCGAAGCCGCATTGCTGGCGTTTGCTCGCTCCGAGACTTTGCAGAGCTGTGACTCCTTCCGCAACTCTTTTTAGGCATTGTCCTGGCAAGCGGTGGCACTGATATCTCTCCTCCAAACACACATGGAATGTCAGAAGCTAAGCCGGGGTCCAGAAGGAAGGGGTCGTTCAAGCTCTGACCTGCTGCTGCAATAGTCGCCGATGTATATATTATATACCCAAAAACATTAGTACGCTGTGTACTGTTGACTAAAATGAAAATAGCAGTAATACAAAACCGATGATGCTAATGTTAATGACAATGATGGAAAATAATGGAAATGTACAATAGGAAAAGCTGTCATACCAGAAATAATACTGTCAATGCTAGTTATTACTAATTTCAGCAATAAGAACAACAATAACAATAATGATAGTAGCAATCACAGTACTAACAGTAACATTAGTCATAATGATGAACCAGCTATAAATAATAATAATATTGATGGTTCCCCTTCATCTTGCTGGAAACTTCCGGCTGCCTCCGTTTCCATCCTTCAGAGAGCCGTACATCACTGCAGCCTCTGCACCCGAAATGCCGCCGGCTTCTCTTGCCCGAAGATCCCGCCACATCAGGATGCTGGCCTCTAGAAGAGTTCGAGTCAGGTGCAAGACCCATGTTCGACGACGAAAAGAGCAGCAAAATTCAGACAAGTCGCAGAACAACCTAAAAGGGCCAGCGATGCAGAAGTGAGAAGGACGCCACTTTGCATATCCAGGCTGAGTTTCTGTCCTTGCAGCCACCGACGACAGAACGAAAAAGATGTGTCGAGGCATAACCAGCTGTGGATGTGAGGTCGCAGGTGCTGAGGTTACCACCCTCCATGGATCGCAGCCTGGTGCTGTACTTTCTTCTTGCAATCGCTTGGGATCTACAACCGCGTTCGTGAGGTTCGGCAATAACATCAAAACATCATCTCGGGTACGGCCTGTTTCGCAAGGCTTGGCGATGTTCTTTCAATGTAGCGACACAACAGAACGGCATCTGCCACAAACCCCGGACATCGTTCTATTGACAGCCTAGCTGCAGTTTGCCAAGGCAAAGCCCCATGCTGAGACACAGATCCACGAAGTTGGCGAAAGCACAGAGCAGGGAGTAGAGTGCCTTCCGTTCCTCACAAAACCGTCACTCTTGATGGACATGCTGGACATGCACCGTGCCTAAAGATGCCCCCCACCGCCGGGGCTTGTGTCAAACAAGGGGCAAAGACCGCAACAAGACCAATCATCGGCACCAGTAGGTCGCATAGTCCACCCCAGACGTCTCCAAGAGCGAAACGACACAAAGCTACCAGTCCTTGCCTCAGCTGTGGAAGTCTGCATGGGCATGGAACACCCAGGAGCTAGTTGCAAACAAAGCACACGGAAGTCACCACCAGGATCACATGCTGCAGAGGCGACTCTGCATGCGACGTGCCATGCAGACTTCCTTGCACTGGCAAGCCCTCACGGTGCAAAAGCATCGACACGACTTAGTCTCCACCGGACAAAGAAGCCCCCCAAGATTTGCTTTGAAAGAACTGTCCGTCCGTCAGAAACGACTGTTGGGTGAGTGAGCCGCGGGGTACCTTACCTCCCGGCAAATCTCACTGGCAGGAAAAACATGCAAGCGATGCAGAGTACAGAGGTGCTGCATTGGGGCGGTTTCGTTCGCTCTTTGCTTACTCTCTTCGCTTGTTTCATGCCTGCCTTCGTTTGATTCAGTTCATTACGAATAAGCGAAGCGAACAAGAAAAAGAGGCTCTCTTCACATTGAACCACTCGACCTGGATGTGCTGCGTCGTGTTCCTTTTGTTCCCTTTGCATTCCTTCACTTCTTCGTAATGCGTGAACAAAGGTAAATGAGACTTGGAGATGAAACACAAGACGCATGCATCTAGTTCCAGCTCCAGCGGTAATACTTGTGAAAAGACGAGTGCTATCCCAGAAAAGGGTTGAGAGGGATAGGCGCAAAAATACAGTACCCAGCAAAGATAATGAACGCACCTTCGTTTCTCCGTCACTTCATTGTTCAATTCTCTTTATTTGGTTCATTTGGAGCTTCGTGTCTGGATGTGAGGCATGTAAGCTCTGCGAACCTCACCTGAGTCCTATGCTATCCTGGTAGACCCGTTGCTCCCCGAAAGTTAGCAGATAGCGAAAACAGAAAACTGAAACCGCTCATCAGGACAAAATGATGAAATTAGACATCAGCTCCGGGTGAGACGTTTCCTTATGTCCATACTGCTTGTTCAGCCTGCTTTACCTCGCCTGTTCGACAAGGTGCGAACGGAAAGGAATGCTGCTGCAACGAAGTGTCTCTGAAGAATCGGAGTTGTGGCCTCCATCTCTGCTTGTCGTTGCTGGCCAGCCGCGCGGTGCTCTCGGTAGCTCAAGCAAAAGGGGCCATGAAGGACATCGGCGCCTAGTCCTCCTTTCTACATTCCGGTGCGAGTGGCATGCCGCCTCGAGATAATAACGGCAACAGGCCGGGGCTGGTGACTAGGGCAAACATTACGACGACGACGACGACGATGCCAAATGGCAGTATCCTGCCCGCCTGCATGTCGGGCCCTAGCTGTAACAACATCCAGAAGTCCGAAAGAGGCTTCTGGACCAATGCAGTCCGGCAAACACGCCTTATCTGTGATACTGTGCACGAAGCTGGCCTTCTTCCCGCGTTCTTCTACTTCGGCTGATGCAGTTTCTTTACCAGAATTACTAGGAGCCTGCTTTCTGGGTTCTGGCCAAAGCGCACTTCGGTGATGGTTCCTGAGTCCGAGTTCGCCGCACATTCGAGACAACACTTTCCCGGTGTCCTGCGGCAGACGACAGGCTTCCATGCAGTAGAATACAGTGCATGCTGACGCAGCTTGGCTCCTGGATACTTTCCTTCACACCCAGTGGTGAATCAGCTATGGAATAGAAAATTGCCTGGCCTGCCAAGCCGGTAGAGGATCTTCAGTGCTTCAAGGCCCGTGAACGGCTGAGGTTCGGGCCACCTAACTGGTTCATGCCTACTTCGAGCGACACTCGCGTTCCTTGCTTCTCGGTGAAGGTGTGCCACTGACCACAACGACACCATTTCCAGCCCAACGGCGCAGGGAGGGCTTCTCGAACAGCGTCAAAAGCGAATAACCTCGGCTCGCTGATCGGAACATGTCCACGAACTCCAGAGGGGTCCGAAGCATAGCCGCCAATCACAGGGCATGAGGTGCCTTCACTGAGACAACTGCCTTTCAGGGTCTCCGAGAATCTGTCATAGCCTGTGTCCAGATAGGTCCTCAGAGACTCGGCGGGTTAGCGATGAGAGTCATCTCTGGCTTCGCGGTGTTTCAACTAAGCACTCATATCCTTCTCGATTCCTTCATCGCCGCTGCCACTCGCAAGATATCCATGACCTGGCCAGTCTCCACTACTTCTCTCACATCCTGTCAACTGTCAACACAGCTGGGGCAGCCTCATCCCTGCTTAGGTCGCACATAGTGAGAACGTGTCTTGCGGTCCTGCATTTGTGACTCCCACGACCCCTGGTCTCAAGCACAGGAAGAAGTGCCTGCTGGCGCTTGGTGCAGGAGGATCACTGGGCTGATACCCCAGCCTCTGTCACAACAGTGCATCACGCACATCAACGTATGCCATTCAACATGCACACGTCAAGGACAGTGTAGCAGCGATGCCGATAAAGCCAGCCTCTCTAGACTTTAGATGAGTTCTGAGGTGAGCCGCCGGCGCTCAACGGATTTCCGACTACAAAAGCACCGCATCCTTCGCTTGCCATCTCCGAGAGGGCGCCTTCTCTCTTCGTGCTTGTACAAGAAGGAAGTTGCGTTGTCATTCTTCAACAACCTGACGCTTGGATGAGTCTGAGAGATTCTTATGAGTCTCTCGTCGATCCCGCTGCCATTCCAAGGACTGCACCAGTCCTCCATGTCCGGGACGCGGAGATTCCTTGGGTCATTGCACTCTCTATCAGCAAGCATCCACGGCGGCGATGTTACAGCCATTGGCCGCCAAAGCTCGACTTCGTGCTGAAGGCTCAGAGAGACTACACGTGACTACAGTGTGCTTGAAGCTGCGGGCACAAAACCAACATTGAGCTGCCAACACGACTAAGAAAGCTTACACAATTCTTAGTTTACACAATCATCGTCCATCGAATCTTGCTTGCCGTGTCCTTGATGGCAGGTTTGGGCTGGTCGCCCAGGGATGCATTGATCTGCGACAACTCACCGAGGTCAGCAGCAGAACAGCTCTGCTGATTCAAAAGCCTCCCAGAGGCGGAGCTCCAGCAAATCCAGCTCTGGCCTTTCCAGCTTCTCCAGCATCTACGTCACCCCCCAACTTGCGCGATACCAAGCCAGGAACCCTCCTCCCATTCCAGTCGTAACCTTCGCGTAGCATCTGCGCAGGACTAACAAAAACCGATGAGGCAGAAATTGAGGCAGCTGCATCAACCAAGGCTCGTGGCACCGCTCGACCTCACTCTCTCGTCCATGACTCCAACAAAGCTTCGGACTCCTGCATGGGGGCGGTACGAGTGCCGTCCAAGATGTGCTTCCAGGCCGGATCCCTTAGCGCATCGGCACTGCTGCGACACATCTCCCGAACAATCCACAGACTTCAAGTTCGTGGCTTGCAGTTTGGCGATTTCGGGGTCACCTCGGGTCTAGCACTCCGAGATTTCTGGGAAGCCACACCCGTGCACCCAAGAGATCGAGCTTGGCAAGTTATCCAACACTAACGGGCACCACGCCATGCGCTCAGGATGAAAGGCTGCTGGAGGTTGGCGCTCCACCTTGACTCTGATACTGCCCTCACGAGAGTCCTACGGAAAGCCGTCTCAAAGCCGCCGAGGCACCAGGGGCTGGTACAGCCGGACAACGGCCTTAAAAGCCATACATCACCGTGCCCGTCTGTGACTAATCGCACACGGCAGGGAAGCATCCGAGGCTTCCGACATCCCGCAGCTCTGGAGCTGCTAGCCTCACAGAGAGTTAGCTGCGGAGCAGCTGCCCTCTCTCTCTTCGCTGATGACTGCTAAGGGCGAGAAAAAGTGCATCCCACAGAGCAGAGAAGCATCAAAATAAACCACAATGAAGAGCAAAACCAAGAGACAAAGCCATGCCAAAAGCCGGTTCGACAGAGAGACGAACCGACAAAGGGACAGCGATGCCGGACCAAGGCGATGGTCAGCAAGCACCGGTTGAAGACTCCGATCGGTGCACTACACGAGGCCGTCTCAGATCCACCTATCCGTTTAAACGGCCCGTGTTTGCCCGAGCCTGCATGCTGTTTGCCGTTAGAGCTGTACTAGTACCAACTCGTCCCTCGATATCTCTTTGTCTATCTCTCTCTCGCACTCTAGTTTTCCAACGGCTCCTCTTCGCCGCCTTCGCCACAGTCAATTGTCTCAGTCTCTTTCTCTTCCTCCCTGTGCCTGATAGCGCCAGGAGAGCGGAGTCCCATGCGGCAGAGCTCTTGGTAGATACCCAGCCTTGGCCGAGCATCCGTGGCTTGGGCAATGAACGGATGCCGGAAGCAAGAATAAGTTCTGGACAAGGTCGTGGGGGCTTTGCCATCGTCATGTCGCACCTGCGAGGAGAGACTGCCATATGGGCCATGGACTTGGCACACGAGGGGGGCTCCTGGTATCACTTTGGTTCAGTCAGCACAGAACAGGTGAGCAATCTTGCCTTCTTGGCCAGCGTTGTACCATGAGACTCATCTTCAACCTCTGGTAGTATACATGAAACATCATGAAACGGTTGCTTTCTACCCTTGCCAGTACTACCGAACTGTAAGGAACCAGCTTCGTCGAGAGCGAAGACCCCTGCGTGCTCCTGGTCTTCCTGCTTTTCTTCGCCGTGCTTCACTTCTCCCAATTGCGGACTTCATGGCTCCTCGCTTTGGCTGCGAGGATCGGCATCCGGACCATCAGGAACCTTGTGCCAGCGCTATTCTGAGAAGAAGAGAAATATTCATGCCTCAGGGAAAAGCCGGATGCCTCTTCAGACGAAGACCGACTGCTCGAACGTACAGCTGCCTTGTCACAAGAACATCATGACACGATGATCAAAGCTACATCCGACTGCACAATCATGTACATGAGCTTCTACATGGTACAAAGCGCAAATGACGAAATGCCTGTTCTTCTGCACTGCCGTTCCCAAAGTCAGTAGCCGCCTTGCACAAGGGTCATCAATGTTAACAGACATAAGCACAAGACCAACGATAACTCAACTTTCTGGAAAAGTGCCTCCTCGTCTAATATGTCCGGTGGAAAATCGGGTTCGATGTCCTTCGAGCCGACGGTTTTCTATCGGCACCCACAATCATGGAGATCATAGGCAGGCCTTTCCTCCCTCTTCGGTGTCCGGCAAGGGGATCCGTGCAGAATCTGGTGGTCCCACAAACTCTCCATGCATCTGCGGAGACCTTCATATCTGAGCAGAGGGCCAAGCAGAGCACTGCCTTGCCACGTAAACTGCTGAATTTGAGACCTTGGCCACTACGTTTGAGAAATGCATTGCTTCGGCTGTGCGAAATCTGTGTATGCTTTTGGCATGAACGCTCTCTGCACCCGTTATCAGTGTCATTGATGTCATGATTCGCCTCTCATGCAGCACAGCCATTCACATGACAAGACAGCTGCAAAAAAAAGTCTAACATCCTATGGACTTGACATTTGACATATAGTCGCGCGTCCGCATCCTGACACGTAGCCCTCTTGACTTTCAGAACTGATCTTTCGTAGCACACTGGCATGAGGTCATGGCCACGACGCAGTGATGGCTCCCGTGGAGATCAGAGCCAAACAGCACCTCGTGCGCGATTCATCTTCTTTCATGCGTTATCAATCAGTCCGGGGCGAGAAACCGACTAAGAAAGCGCGCTGCTCGGCGTCGGACATGACTTGGAAGCGGTAAGGGCATGGACACTGGCACGCACTGACGGATCGTCTTGGCCTGGATTTTGAGATCACATCTGTGTCACATCCTCCGACAAAACCCTGTTGAATCTCGCTCCTCTGTGTCGCAGACATTGATCATCTTGACGTGAACGTGCCAAGCTCGACTCCTGCATAACTCGCAATCGACTGCTGTCTCATGCCCAACAACATGCACAGATTCAGGAAACTTGTGGGACTTACAGCACCGTGCAAAAGGCTATTGCACTCGCTGTGCTGTCTGCGCCTGAAGATTTGGTGGGGTCGTGATGCTCGTCATAAGAGCAGGCACAAGCTTCCATAGGGATCCTGTTGGCTCTGCTGATGTGTTTCACACCGTTTTAGACAGGCACGAGGAAAATTTGCTCTCTCGCACGCTCGACGACTGCAAGTACTGCCACGAAAAACCCGCACTCCCCTGCCAATATTCACATGTGGTTGTCTCCCTATATCCAGATCTTTCGAGCAACGAAACAGTGCTGGTGAAAACTCAAACTGAAGATGCTCGCAATAGTTTCCTTCTAAACCACGCAAGACATTCATCTTGCTGATGGTTGCGAACCCCATTATACACCTGAAACAAACAAGCGGCAAGACAACCATCCAAGTGCTTCGAACAGTTTGTGATGCTGCACTCTCACTCTCACTCCCTGGTATTGCACTCCTCCTCCAGTGGACCGCCATGCAAACGACATGCGTAGCCAAGGTTTCGTGCACTACTTAAACCAAAAAATGTTCAAATCATCTTCTGGCAAACTGTCCAAGGGGATTGCTTTTGATTGAAACAAGATGTTTGTTGTTTGCATTCCATGCCATTGCTCGGTCTCAAGCCAAAAACCAGCTGCACCACACTGTCAGCAGATGCGGGCATCACAAACTCGCACCGCCGAAACATCGTCTACTCGGGAACTTTCCATTGTCAGCGCCAGCTCAGATCAAGCACGGCAGGTAGAAGCATGCAGTTGAGATTGGTTTTACCTGCCATGGTCGAGCTTCACCTGATCAGTCCGACCGCCGTCAATCGAAAGAAGCTCATGCCTTGTTGTGAGCTACAAGTCTTGCCTTGCAGACACCCCTTTTTGTTGAAGTGATGGAAAGAAAACTGTCACTGCGCAATGTTCCCGAAAGCATCGCGAAGGGTTCTTCTGTGCGAAGCCTTTGAAAGAAGTACATAGAACGAAATACATCGAGTGAAGTACATAGTGCTTAGAGTGAAGTGCATAGTACACAGAGGGACGTACATAGAGTGAAGTGCATCGAGTGAAGTGCATAGCGCATAGAGTGACGTGTTTAGTACATAGAGTGAACTACATCGAGTCAAGTGCATGGTACATAGACGACTCTAGGACTCTAGGACTCTATCTCATTCTGACTCTATGACTCTGTGACTCTATGACTCTGTGCTTTTGACTCTATCCGACTTATCTACATCTCGGTATACAATCTCTCTTTCTACAGCCAGGGTGGCACCGTCGTCATCGATTGGGAATGCAACCCTTCACAGGGATTGGCCCGGTCGAGTGTCCAAACCTGTGGGAAAGAGACAACTGTTACACGCCACGCGCAATCCTTCACGGGGATTGGCGTGGTCGAGTGCCCAAACGCGTGGGAAAGTGACAAAGGCGCCACGCGCAACCGTGAAGGGATTGGCGGGACCACCCAAACGTGTGGGAAAATTACTACTTTCCAGCGCTCTTAGGAGACCCGTGCAACCCTTCACAGGGATTCGTGTGGTCGAGCGCACGAACGTGTCGGAAAGTTACAACTTGTAGGCACCACGCGCAACCTTTCACAGGGATTAGCGTGGTCGAGTGTTGAAACGTGTGGGAAAGTTACAACTTGCCGTGTCCACTCGTAACCCTTCACAGGGATTGGGGTGGTCGAGTGCAGGAAGGTGTGGGAAAGTTACAACTGTTAGGCTGCTAGCAGTATCCACTCGCAGCCCTTCACAGGGATTGGCGTGGTCGAGTGCCCAAACGTGTGGGAAATTTGCTATTTTTCGGCGCTTTTAGGCGCCATTCGCAACCTTTCACAAGGATTCGTGTGGTCGAGCGAGCGAACGTGTGGGAAAGTCACAACTTTTAGGCGCCGCGCGCAACCCTTCCAAGGGATTCGTGTGGTCGGGTGTACGAACGTGTGGGACAATTACTACTTTTGCGGTGCTTTGCGGTGCTCGGGAGAGAAGTACATAGAGTGAAGTATACAGTCAAGTGCATAGTACATAGAATGAGTGAAGTACATCGAATTACGTGCATAGTACATAGAGTGAAGTACATAGAGTCAAGTGCATAGTACATAGAGTGAAGTGACGCTATGATTCTACGTACTTGTGTACCTGACTTATGTACTTGACTCTATGCACTGGACTGGATTTGACTAATATGACTCTCTGTATACATGTATACTTGACTCTATCACGCTTTAGGGTTTAGGGTTTATTGCTTAAGGGTTTAACGCTTAAGGTTTCGGGTTTATAAGCATTGGTTACTGGACTAGACTAATATGACTCTATGTACATGTATACTTGACTCTACGACTCTTCAGGGTTTAGGGTTGAGGGCTGAGGGCTTAAGGCTTAGGGTTTAGGGTTTATTGCTTAAGGGTTCAGGGCTTAAGGTTTAGGGTTTATGGACGATGGGAAAGTTACTACTTTGGCGGTGCTTGGCGGTGCTCGGGAGAGAAGTACATAGAGTGAAGTGCATCGAGCTACGTGCATAGTACATAGAGTGAAGTACATAGAGTCAAGTGCATAGTACATGGAGTGAAGTACATAAAGTCAAGTGCATCGTCCACAGAGTGAAAATGTACTTGACTCTAGGACTCTCTGTACCCGTGAACCTGACTTATGTACTTGACTCTGTGCACTATTGACTAGACGAATATGACTCTATGTAAATGTATACTTGACTCTATGACTCTTTAAGGTTTCGGGTTTCGAGCTGAGGGATTGAGGTTTAAGTTTACTGCCTTGCTTCAAAAAGAAACACCTCCAACACTAAAGTTTGTTCAAAAAGATTCGATTCTGGATTCAATCTGGGGGACTCTTTTATTCGCTCCGGAACAATGTATTGGAGGTCACAAAGCAGTTCTGCGCATCATGCGTACTGCTGATTCGCATTCCGTCCAACACCGCACCGCAGTTCTGTGCAAGAAGCTTTGCCACCATGTGTTCGTCATTTAGAGCGCACAGTCCACTCTCTGTACTGGTCATTGGCCTAGAAGTTGCGGCTTGTTGATACCTGTGTGGTATTGAGGACAAATCTTGTGTAACAGTCAATGGCAAGTTCTTTGGCTAACAGAGCAGGATGTGGGTTAAACCCAGGTTGTACGATGCATTTCGCATCTACGTGGAATCGGAAGGTCGAAACGGAGTTACGGAAATGACAGTAAACTGCCATGGTGTGAAGTGGTCTGTGGTCTCGCTTTCCGGAATGTTTCTATCTGGCGCATATCGCAACTGACCATACCACGCAAGAGTTTATGCGCTTTCTTCGTCACCGCCTGAGTGTACGAGTTTGTGCAGCGGCGTCTGCGACCTCCTTCATTTTTGGGGACGATAGCATCCTATCTGCGAGCTCAGCAGCCGCTGCGGGATAAAACAGGCAAACTGGACGGGCGGGTCGCGCCCACAGATGATCTTCCCCCCCCCGTGCCACCTTCCAAGCACATGGTGCACGCACATGCCTTTGCACCTGAGAGCAAAGTTACCCTCCTCTGCGGACTGTGGCACGCTGCTTACGCTGCCTATGTCCTTGATGGCAAGGTCGCTGCGTGTCAACATCGATCACTCTGGCTGTTATATCTGATCTGCAACTTTGCGGAGAGGGCGTTGCGCCTCAGATGCTGCACGGAAGCAGAGGTCTAGCGCCCTTTGCGCAAATCCATTACTCACCATTTGAGCAGTGAACCCCTTCAACCCTGGACGGCAAGGTCTCGACCTCTCGTGGCGAGAACTAGCCCCATAACTGCTTGCTAAAGATGGAAAGCTTCTTCGTGATGGCTCTGGGGAACCTGGGCGCCGCATGTCACCTCTGCAATGCTACAGTGCTCTGATGCCCATACAAGTTCTGCTCAGTTCTACGTGCTTCATTGACAATCTGCAGGCAAGGCTGGTTCCCTCTCTTCCAGCGTTTAACCCAGATTTGCCTGGGTTTGAACCTGGGTTCCCTTCTTCTAAGAGCAGGAAGGGGAAACAACAGCAACAACCCAGAATCCAGGTTTGAAACCTGGGTTTGATGGTTTTGAACCTGGATTTTAAACCGGTTCTGGAGGTCACAGGAACTGAGTTTCGGTTCGTTCTCAGGTGCTGGTGTCTTGCAAACCCCGAGATGTTTTTTTTGTTTTTTTCGACAGCTGCGGTCAAAAAAGATGTGTGTTTTCATTGTCTTTGTCTCTGAAAGCGATTGTGTGGTTTCTACTTTCTTCGTGTTGGAAAATGTGATTGATATTTTTTGGACAACACAGTTTGATTTCTTTCGTTCACTTTTCAGCCCCTAAAAGCGATTTCGTGCTTCTTTTTCTTTTTGTGTGTGTGTGTGTGTTGCGAAGTTATAGTATGGTAAAGTTAGTTTTTGCGGTTTGCGTTGCAAAGTTCATATTGTGGCGCTCTTTGTTGTGTTGTTTGATATGTCATGTGTGCGCACGTCTATCTTTGCTCAGGTTTGAAAAGACATTAGAGGCCCAGAAAAAGATCCACGGGACACTAAGGGCAGCTTGGCGACTTCGGGCCTTCCACTGGTTAAGGAAAGCCAGCAGTCACAGGCACATCCACTTCAGACAGAGCAAGGATATGCGAGGGATCGCTCTGCAAAAGATCTGCAAGTGCACCGACAGACGAGGTGCCTCGTTTGTGAACATTCAAGCAGGACAGGCGGATCACACTGCCGGCAAGGACGCACGCAGGTGCACCAAAGCAGAATCAAAGACGATTTCGCCTTGCTGCTTCTTGGCACTGGCAGGAGCCTGGTCATGAAGCTTCCTGTTCTTCCATGCTTTGTAAGCGTGTGGGCCATGCGCTTTGACTGAGAACTGGGACAGACTTGCGCCTTGTCACAATGCTCCCGCGGCCACTTTAGCATCCTGGAACGGAGCATTGC